CTACTAAATTCTAGCTCACTGCAGGCTATGAAAACTTTGCTTGGCTTGTTATTCTTGAGCTATGTTCCACTTGTGACTTTAAGACAGGGATGGAGAACCATGGGCCCTCTATGACTTGCAGACCTCAATTCCCAGAATCCCTGAGCTCGCATGGCTAGCTCAAGAATTCTGGGAGTTGAAGTCCACAAATCACAAAAGGGCCATGGTTCCCCACAGTGGTGAAATTCATTTTTTTTTACTACCGCTTCTGCGGGCGTGGTTTGGTGGGTGTGGCAGGGGAAGGATCCTGCAAAATCTCCATTCCCATCCTACTCTGGGGCCAACCAGAGGTAGTATTTGCCGGTTCTCCGAAGTACTCAAAATTTCCGCTGCTGGTTCTCTAGAACCTGCTGGATTTCACCCCTAGTTTCCCACCCCTCCTTTAGGGCAAGTGAGAGAATCTGTGCCCTTCAGATGGTGTTAAACAAGGACCCCTTGCACATTGCAACTAGCATGAGATACATACCAGGGATTGTGGTTCAGCAATGTTTAGAAGGTCACATATACCTGCTTCAGGTTTTTACTCAAATGTATGCTCCGGTCCTACCTAATAGTGATAAAGACCAAATTTGCAAGCAACCATTGCTGAAATATAGCCCCTTCAAGATTTTTATAAGGAAGAGTGAATAGAATAACACAGTTGGAAGAGACCTTAGAGGTCTTCTAGTCCATCCCTCTGCTTAGGCAGAAAACCCTATACATTTCAGACAAATGGCTCTCCAGTCTCTTCTTAAAAACTTCCAGTGTTGGAGCATTTACAACTTCTGGAGGCAAGCTGTTCCACTGATCAATTGTTCTGTCAGGAAATTTCTCCTTAGTTCTAGGTTGGTTTGATTACTTTCCATCCATTGCTTCTTGTTCTACCCTCAAGTGCCTTGGAGAATAGCTTGACTCCCTCTTCTTTGGGGCAACCCCTGAGATATTGGATATCATGTCTTCCCTAGTCCTTCTTTCTATTAAACTAGACATACACAGTTCCTGCAACCGTTCTTCATATGTTTTAGCCTCCAGTCCCCTAATCATCTTTGTTGCTCTTCTCTGCACTCTTTCTAGAGTCTCCACATTGTTTTTTATATCGTGGCATCCAAAACTGAATGCACTTACCAAAGCATTATAAAGTGATATTAACACATCATGTCATCTTGATTCTATCCCTCTGGTAAGCATATTAACAGAATGAAGCATCTACAAGCAAACAACCAAGTTCAGAGAGCACCAAGAATTCCACATCCCACTATTTCTGCCACCTTCAAAGAGATTTTTTGAACATTTTAAAAATACTTCGTAACAGCTTGTTTGCGCATTTTTCCAATTATATGCAACCATATTCAATCAGTATGCCCCAGGAATCTAATGGATCCTGTTGAGTTTCAGAAGGGGGTGGTATCTAAGGCTCTGGTACATGATTGATTAAGGCCACACAGCCATCACTTGGAAGAAAAGTAAAGTGTGCCAATAGCATTGGATTAGATATTACCTATGTGGTTTCTCTCTTGGTGGGAATGCAACAGAATTCCCTGATTTTCCCAGGAGCTCCTACAGATGATACAGCAGAAGAAACTCTCTACAGGACCCTAGGTAAAGGTTCCCCTCACACATATGTGCTAGTTGTTCCCGACTCTAAGGAGCGGTGCTCATCTCCTAACCCAGCGCTGTCCAAAGACATCTCCATGGTCATGTGGCCAGCATGACTAAACGATGAAGGCACACGGAATGCTGTTACCTTCCCACCAAAGGTGGTTCCTATTTTTCTACTTGCATTTTTACATGCTTTCAAACTGCTAGGTTGCAGAAGCTGGGACAAGTAGCAGAAGCTCATGCTGTTATTCGGCACTAGAGATTCGAACCGCTGAATTGCCACCCTTCTGCTCAACAAGCTCAGCATCTTAGCCACTGAGCCACCACGTCCCTCTTCAGGACAATAAAAAATAAATACTGGCAAGAACCTCTATTAAGGATCACTTTTTATTTTTTTTCACCACATTGCAGATTTGCCATCTGGGAGTCCTATTTAAAATTTATTGGAGGGGAAACTGATGAATAAAATCACTTAAATCCACTCAGAGGTGGACTCCCGATTATGCCAGAGCTGCGGTGTTAACTGGAGCAAGGTTTTGTTTGATTATCTGAACTGTTAGTCTCAAGGAATGGACTCTGAATGGTTACTGTTTATTTAGATTACTTGTGTACTTCATACACGACCTTCTTGTTGAGGCCATATAAATTTAATAAATAAATGGCAAGGAATCCATTATGATATTGCATATTTATATATTATGTTCATCAATCTATACATGATTGCTTTCAGATTTCCTTCATTGTAAGGATTGAAATCCAACATTCAGAGACCCCCTCAAAAAAATCTGAAAAGATGGTCCATTAGAAGGCTCCAGGCAATGGAAAGAATAGATTAGTAACAATATTTGCCCCCGATCCTATACCTAAATTTAATGTGATTCTTGAAGAATTCTTATGATCAATTTCAGTCTGGATATGAAACCCCAACCATAGATCCAAGTTTTCATTCCTAAATTCGCTTTCCTTCCCAAAACCATTCTCTTTCCAAAATTGTATCAACAAGAAAGTGGCCCAAATCAATGAATTTAGGATACCTGAAACTGTTTTTTGTTTTTTTTCCCTTCCTTGAGCCAGCTCTCTCAACTGGAAGAATATTTCTAGTTCTGATCAAACAGAGCAACATTGACATCTTATGGAATAAAGAAGCTACTGCAAGGATGATAATTAAAAATAACTGATTTTTTTAAAAAAAGAAGACAGAATCATTCCAGGCACAGCATTCCTAACGTAAGTTTGAAAAATGTTTAGAAGCCTGGTTTAATTTTATTTTGAAAACACTCAAATTGTCGGCATGTCAGCTGATGCAGGAAAAACAAACAAACACAGCTGAGAATACAAAATACGATCACCTTGATATAATGACCAGAAACAAAAAGTTTCAATAAATAACTGGAAGCAGAGAGAAGAGGCAGGGTGGCATTGAATAATATTCATGGTATTTCCAAGAAGAAAAGACAAATGGTAAGAGTTAATTTAGTCACAGCAAAAATGAAATTAGAAGTCCCTTCTAGAGGCGCAGAGAGCTACAATAAAGATGAATTTGTTTTATGGTAAGGATCAAGTTTGTTTTACTTGTAGGAAACAGTTGATTTCCAAATGCACCATGACCTCATCACCTTCTCACAAAGCATCTCAAAGGGCAACTTTCTTTGATATCTGAAAAGCATGTTACTGACTCCAAAGCTTCTTTTACATAAAACACTCTCCCGAAAAATAGCTTTAACTGGCTGCTACTTAGTTATTTTATCTTTGGTGCTGTGTAAAATATATGAATTTAAAAAGCAACACTGCCCTCTTCAGGACAATGATTGAATACCACAAAGACTTTCCTTACTCGTGGTTGTTTGTCCAAAAGGTGCTCTTTTTCAAGAGGCAACTGGACTTTCTGATTTTTCTCTGAGGGGCTAAAGAGGCCATGTATGTCAAAACTGAACAGCCCTCTTTCAACAGAGGGGAAGGGATTCCCCTCTGTTGAGAGAGTTCGTTCCCAAGCTTCCGGTTGGCCTCCAGAGTCTGGGAAGGGTAAAAATCAGTGGTGGGTTTCAACCGGTCCACGGCGGTCCACGCGGACCGGTTGGTCGGTGAACCCAGAAGTAAGTAACTTCCGGGAACGCCGAAGGGCCCACCCGCCCGCCCACTCTCCTTACTGGTCTTTGAAGGCTTCTGCGCTTCCACGCAGGCGCATGGCACCTACAGTGCCTGCGTGATTCTCCATGAGTAGCTGGAGCATCGCACAGGTGCTAAGACACATGCATAAACTGCCTGCGTGCACGAGGACGCCGCCGGCCCCGTTCCAACCGTATTGGTTGGAACGGGATGAGCAACCCACCCCTGGTGAAAATTCCTCCCACGTGGTGGGGGGGGCATGAGCACATGTGCATGCAATTTTAGCACACCTTTAGAAAAAAGGTTAGCCATCACTGCAATAGATGGATCTCCAGCTAGGGAAATTGGATTATATAGTATTCATAATTGCAAAGTATCACTACTCTTCCGGCCTTCCGTAAAGCCACTAAGACCTGGCTGTTCCGGCAGGCCTGGGGCTGTCGATCAGCATCCAGCCCCATTTTAAGTGTATGTATGTTGTGTAATTTTAAAATGATTATATTTCTATTTTAATTCCCTTGATTGTCTGTAAGCCGCCCAGAGTCCCCTGGGAGTGGGCGGCATACAAATACCAATAAACTGAAACTAAAACTAAACTGTATGCTTTTATATATATATATTAGTTTTGAAATTCTACCAGAATCACTAAGCTTTGCTCCTTAAATTCTGTTGTAGGAAACAGTTATATAAAAGGGAATTTCTCCATCGGAATCTCCTTCTATTTAACAAGATAAGTAGCCTCTAATTTTTCTCTAAGAGGGAGAACGTCAAAAAAGTTGTGAGTGTGATAAAACCCATTTACATTCACCAGTGCCTCAAGCACCATCTGGAAGTTTTTATTCTCTCAGCCTGATTTGTTGTATAAAACTATGCTCCCAATGGAGTCAGAGACATCCCAAGGGAACATTGTTATGACACTGTGAATTTTATGTATCTCCATCACCCATATAATCCATTCCAACAGCTATCCAAGGTCCAAGTCAGTTATTTTCTAGACTAGAGGTACGCCAGGCTAAACATGGGCATTTTCTACAGATAAAATATGCGTTTTCAAGTTTTCCCGTAGCATAGATCCAGAAACTTGTAACTGGGATTGTAACTGCCCTATTGCCCACAGTCGTGCAACTGTTTTCTACATAAAGAACATATAATGCAGGCTCAGAAAATCTGACAACCAACACATCATCAAAATTTCCATTTGTGCTACCAGATTTTGTTTATTCATCAAGGACAAGAAGGAAAGAAGCAACGAGCCACCCGAGGCTGTGCAAACTTACCAAGCTATTCATTTTAGATGATGAGGAACTCGTTCGCTGTTTTCTTAAACAATTTATGTCTTCCGGGGTTCCATCCTTTGGCTTTAGGATCATCCGACTGTTCCCAGCAGTGCCTTCTGAGGAGGACCTTAAACGCTTTTCTATGAATCTTCCTTCTCGAAATGGACTAAAACTACTAGGAAGACCCACTGTGAAGTAAGATATAGAGGCTTATTTACAATCGTCATCAATGCTGCAAGCATCATTCAGAAATGTTTCTTTTAATCAAAGGTGCATTACTCGGAAATTGAGCTACAGCCAGTTAAACCTTGATATGGATTTCTCACATACCGTATTTTTCAGACTATAAGACGCGCCGAAATATAAGACGCATAAGATAATATAAGATGATTTTGAAGAGGTAAATATTTTTTAAAAAAGTTTTTGCACTCTGCAGGCCTCCCAAACCTTCTGCACGCCTCTTTTTTTGCAAAAATAGGGGGGTGGGCATGCAGAGCTTTGGGAGGTTTGTAGAGTGTTCCTGGGGACTGGGGGGCAAAAATGAGCAAAAATTGCCTGGTTTTTGCTCGTTTTTGCCCTCCTCAGCCCACAGGAGCACTCTGGAAGCAACCTAAAGGCTATGCGTGGCCATTTTTGTGAAGGGGGCGGGGTTTCGGTAGGCCAAAAATGCTGTATTCAGTGTATAAAATGCACCCAGATTTTCACCCTCTTTTTTNCTCCCCAAAATACAGTAATTATTGCAAAATCCTGGCCCATACATTGGACAGCCAAGAAAACAAACCAACGGATCATTGAATAAATCAACCCAGAGTTTTCACTCAAGGTACAAATGACCAGGTTCAAATTATTCTACGTCAGACATAGTACATCAGGGGTGTCAAACTCATGGCCCGTGAGCCAGTTCTGACGAACAAGTTGGTTAGATCCAGCCCGCAGGACTGTCCTGGAAACAGTAAAGGACAGACCCATGGCATCTTGGCCCAGCCAGACCACCCCAGTGCTGATCTGCAACTAGTGGCATCCATCTGGGCCAGACCACAGCCAGCCTTAGATTCACAGCACCACCTCTGCCCTGCCCCCTGGGCATGTGCACAGGCGGTAGCAAGCGCGCACAAAGCTTGGTGTCCCTAGGGACTATATTCTGAGTGCTTCCTTTCTCCCAGGATGCCAGTCCTCATGCTTGCTACCTCCTATGCGCACAGGCACCCCCCCCCCCAGGCCATTAGCAATGTTGATCTGGTCATGGCCACCACGGCTATGCTGCCCCCCCCCAAGATCAACCACAAGCATGATGCAGCCCTCAATGAAATTTGAGTTTGACACCGCTGCATTACATGAAGATCTACCACTGTGGAAAAGGCTCTAATGCTGGGAAAGGTGAGGGAGAAGGTGAAGAGGATGAAGAGCAGCAAGGTAGATGAACTTGGTTACAGTGGCAATGAGTGCACCATTGGGAGGTTTGAAAGAAGAAGGAGGGGAGACACTGTCAAGGAGAAAATCAGTTTATGTGGTCAATAGGAGCTGAAAACAACTAGATGGCACATAATCATGGGGCTACTGCAACAGTTGTAAGTGCAGAAAAATGGACATTGGTCACTTTTCCCAGTGTTGTTGTAACTTTGAACAGTTGCTAAATGAGCTGTTGTAAGTTGAGGACTACCTGCATATTTTTAAAAAGCCAACGTCTTTGTAAACCCATATTATAAGCAAGGAGTTGCTAAGAGGAGTCCATACAGATTTTATCAAGAGGATGTTTGGAGGACTGGATCCACAAATGGCAGA